CAGTTGTTCAGTGCGCCAACACAGACCTGTGAGATCATCAAACAAGTTTGGGACTTAAATTATTGTTAGTTTAGTTGGATAAAGATAATAGAACTGCGGTAGCGCATTTGTTGTTGTTCTAATCCCACTACTGTACTTCCACTTTTTTAATAAATAAACCTATTGCTCTGTTTGCATTAGCTATTTTTTCTTATTTTAGTGACCAGCCACTGCTGAATAAAGTTACATATTATTTACCATTGCCTGTCTCACTGTGTCACAGGATTCTGAGTGTGTCACCAGATTCAGGTAGGATCCGTGCCCACATACTTTTCAAAGCCAACACCTACAGGCATGCTACATGATATACAACATGTAACTGACAGCAAAAATGTCTGTAAAAATGACTCAGTCGAAAAACGGTTAATGAAAAGGATGAATTTCTTAGCTAATTGGCATTACTTGCTTAAAATGATTGGCAGCTGACTGAAAAATGCAGCTGCTCAAGGCTCTAAAATGAATGCAACTGCATTTTAATCAGTTCAGTTGTAAGCACAATTCATAAAACATAAAATATATTTAGACAGGTATATCATTTTGGTATTCTCTGCATACAGTTGTATTAGAACACACTAGAGCTGACATTTTAACCACTTGTTGCCAGCTCACAGTATATTTACTGTGAGTGGGAGGCAGCTAAAGGCTAGGTGACATACCATATATCATCTAGCACATGCATGCCCCCATGGGGCTTGCAGTGGTCCTGTGTCCACCGAATCACAGCAATCAGTACTCGGCAACTATGAGCGGCTGGGGTATCGTCATTGCTTTGACCAACCATAGTGCTCACATAATATTACGTAAGCAAATTGACATGAATAGCTTTCATTCATGAACAGCTTTCTTACTATTGTGATGGTGTGATTGGCCTACAGCTATCACATGGTACCTGACACCCTGTACCATGTGATTAGCTGTAGCCAATCACAACATCACAACAGTAAGCAAGCTTTCATAAATGGAAAGCCATTCATGACAGTTAAAACTATTGCTTATAACAGTAATCATCACTGTTATAAGCAATAACAGTGCAAAAAAATCCCTGTTCACACCCCAGAGTAGTACAGTGTCCGTCTGGTGAAACTGAACTACTCTGATGATAGTATGTAAAACAAATTGGAAAAAATGTTTAGAAAAAAAAGTTTAAAAATTGAATAAAAAATTATTTAAATGTACTATTTTTTTTAACATACTGTAACCAGTCAGTATCCCTGATCACCACCACACCAGTCATAATGATGCTGTACTGAACTGGTGATAGTATGTAAAAACAATTGTGAAAAAATGTTTTATCTTTTCATTTCTTAAATTTCCAAAAAAGTGTGACAAAAAAAAACTACAACTTCAAAAAACACCACGCCACTTACTAAATACCTTGGACTGTCTACGTTCCAAAAAGGGGTCATTTTGGGGTATTTGTACTGTTTAGGCATTTTAGAAATGTGATAGGCCATCAGGATTGATCAATTTTCATATATACTGTATACTGTATCTACCATAGCTTGCAGGTTCTATCACTTTCACACAGACAAAATAATATACATTTATTTTGGTAAGTTTTACCAAACAAATGTAGCAGACTACATTTTGGCAATTATTTGTTTGCAAAATTTTATAACAGAATCAAAGAAAAAATTTTTTTTTCAAAATTTTTGGTATTATATAGTTTATATAGCTAAAAATGTAAAAAAAAAACCCTGTGGTAATCAAATACCGCCAGAAGAAAGCTCTATTTGTGTGAAAAAAATATAAACTTCATTCGGGTAGAGGGTTGCATGACTGAGCAATTACTAGTTAACGTAGCATAGTGCTGAATACCAACATGGAAAAAAAAAATATATTTGAAATATATTTTAGAAATATTCCATATATTGCCATATATTTGAAATGCTACAATTTTGGCCATATTCAATATATTTCAATATATATATATATACTGCATGTTGACATGCATTTTTATTACAAAGTATATGAAAAATATTTTTTAAAATACATTTCAAATATACTGTATGTCTTAAAAAATACAAATACAGTACAGTTTTGGAATGCATTTATAACTATATGTAAAAATATATGTTAAAATGATTTTTGTATATGTTAAAAAAAAATCTGAAATATATTTTTTAAAATTTTTTTGTTAAATATATTCTTAAGAATTTTTTTAACATATAAAAAAAGAATATATTTTTACATGTATTTGTACATGCATTCCAAAACTGTAGATTTGTATTTTTAAAGACATACAGTATATTTAAATTCATTTTTAAAAATATTTTTCATATATTTTGTAATAAAAATGCATTTCAATATGCAGTGTATATATATATATATATATATATATATATATATATATATATAGATAGATAAATAGATATATTTTGAAATATATTGAATATGGTCAAAGTTGTAGCATTTCAAATACAGTCAGGTCCATAAATATTGGGACATCGACACAATTCTAACATTTTTGGCTCTATACACCACCACAATGGATTTGAAATGAAACGAACAAGATGTGCTTTAACTGCAGACTGTCAGCTTTAATTTGAGGGTATTTTCATCCAAATCAGGTGAACGGTGTAGGAATTACAACAGTTTGCATATGTGCCTCCCACTTGTTAAGGGACCAAAAGTAATGGGACAATTGGCTTCTCAGCTGTTCCATGGCCAGGTGTGTGTTATTCCTCATTATCCCAATTACAATGAGCAGATAAAAGGTCCAGAGTTCATTTCAAGTGTGCTATTTGCATTTGGAATCTGTTGCTGTCAACTCTCAAGATGAGATCCAAAGAGCTGCCACTATCAGTGAAGCAAGCCATCATTAGGCTGAAAAAAAAACAAAACAAACCCATCAGAGAGATAGCAAAAACATTAGGCGTGGCCAAAACAACTGTTTGGAACATTCTTAAAAAGAAGGAATGCACCGTGAGCTCAGCAACACCAAAAGACCCAGAAGACCACAGAAAACAACTGTAGTGGATGACCGAAGAATTCTTTCCCTGGTGAAGAAAACACCCTTCACAACAGTTGGCCAGATCAAGAACACTCTCCAGGAGGTAGGTGTATGTGTGTCAAAGTCAGCAATCAAGAGAAGACTTCACCAGAGTGAATACAGAGGGTTCACCACAAGATGTAAACCATTGGTGAGCCTCAAAAACAGGAAGGCCAGATTAGAGTTTGCCAAACGACATGTAAAAAAGCCTTCACAGTTCTGGAACACCATCCTATGGACAGATGAGACCGAGATCAACTTGTACCAGAGTGATGAGAAGAGAAGAGTATGGAGAAGGAAAGGAACTGCTCATGATCCTAAGCATACCACCTCATCAGTGAAGCATGGTGGTGGTAGTGTCCTGGTCACGAAGGGGGTAAAACCCTCCAGAGGTCACGTGGCTAAGAGTTAAGAGAGAGTAATTAGTAGAAAAAAAGGGCAGTAGTGTCCAAAGTAACGAGCGGATTTAGAGCCTATGTCAACAAACTTTAGGCTTGGGTCAATGACATCCATTTTACATCAGTTTGAGACACTTCTGAGATAATATCTTTATCATTTCAAATGTAATAAATACAAGAAAGATAGCAATACCATATTTACAACATTTCTGGAGTGGGGAGAAGAGAGTAGAAAATAATTTTCAGGGTTAGTAGAGATTTAGGAGTGGGCTGAATGGAGGTTGCTGGGTGACAGATGACCCTGGGAGAAGTGTGTTGCTTGCTTGGCCTTGGAAAGGTCTACAGTGAGCAGAAGGAGTATACTGTATATTTTTACAGATGTGGAGCAGTGATAGGAGGGATTGGGAAACAGTAAAAGGTAGGCTTTTGTATCCATGCTTTGGGTTCCAGAGGGCCTTGTTCTAGCACTTGGCATGTTACAAAAAAAGCGACTGGGTATCTGCCTTACCAGATCAACTATATACCTTAGTATACCTCTCAGCTTCAGAACTTTAGAAAAAAAGTTAGTTAGTATCTTATACTCAGAGATATAACCAGCTCTTCCATAAAAAAAAAAAAATCAAAATTCTATCTTTTAAGCCCTTCCATTTGAAGACCAACATTCCTGAGAATAACCTCATGGGCGTTTCAATATGGAAAAAAAGAAAAATATGTTTCAGGTACTAAATTGAACCTACATACTATTTATAACATAGAATTAGAGTATTTACACATGACCCTTTAAGAATAAAATATAAAATGGTAATTTTACAGAACAGCTTGTAAAAACATCAGGAAAGTTTAAACAGACTGATGAGGCCCATTTGGAAAACAGATGGCACATACCCCTGCACTGCACACAGCTGTTACCTTGCATATTTATGGACAGAAATAAAACAAGTGAAAGCAGAAATAGAAGTTCCATAACACACTGACAATTGTATTGTTTATTTCCATGCCCTGTATAAGTCCCTTTAAGACCACTATTTTCATACTCTGTGAGAAAGTTTAATCAGCTTGAAGAAAGAAGTATGCCTGAAATAACCTGCACATGTTGCTCCCTACCTTAAAGATGTTGATTTGTTAAAGTTGGCCTAAACTCAAAATGTGACCATTTATCATGCATCTAGAAATGTTAAAGTGGAACTTTAGTCAGAAAATGAAGTCCTGCTAGATCGCTTCAGGCTGGCCCTTTTTGCAGGTATAGCAATGTAAAACTAAGCACCTACTGTTTAACCACTTGCCAACAGGGCTCTTATACCCCCTTCCTGCCCAGGCCAATTTCCAGCTTTCAGCGCTGTCACACTTTGAATGACAATTGCGCGGTCATGCAACTCTGTACCCATATGACATTTTTATCATTATTTTGTGACAGAGCTTTATTTTGGTGGTATTTAATCACCTCCTGGTTTTTTTTTTTTTTTTCTTAAACAAACCAAAAACCACTGAAAATAAAAAAAAAACTAAATGTTTTCTTAGTTTTTGTTATAAAATTTTGTAAATAAGTGATTTTTCTCCTTCACTGATGTGCGCTACTGAGGCTGCACTGATGGGCACGGATAGGCTGCACTGATGGACACTGATGGGCACTGATGAGGAAGCACTGGTAGGTGGCACTGATGGGCATTGACAGGCATCACTGATGGGCACTGAAAGGCAGCACTCATATATGGCACTGATAGGCGGCACTGATAGGTGGCACTGACTGGCACTGATAGACGGCACTGACTAGCACTGTTAGGTGGCACTAAAGGGCACTGATAGGCGGCACTGATGCACAATGATAGGCAGCAATGACTGGCACTGATAGGCAGCACTGACTGGCACTGATTGGCAGCACTGATAGGTGGCACTGACTGGCATTGATAGGTGGCACTGACTGGCACTGATGGGTGAAACTGAAAGGCAGCTCAGATAGGCACTGATATGTGGCATTGATGTGCACTGGTAGGCACTGAAATGTGGCATTGATGTGGCACTGATGGGCACTGGCAGGTGGCACTGATGAGCACTGACAGCTGGCACTGATGGACACTGACAGGTGGCACTGCTGGGGCTACACAGATCACCAGGGCACACTGATTATCAGTGCCCTGATGATCAGTGTACATGTCCCCTCCGAGGAATGCTGATTACTGGCTCTCCACTCCTCTCGAGCTGTCAGTGTGACAGCTCGTGAGGAGAGAAATGCCGATAACCGGCATTTCCCTATTTACATGCGATCAGCTGTGATTGGACACAGCTGATCACATGACCGAGCCGACATCTTCGGCTCTTTCCGTTGATCGGTGATCCGCTGTGTCCGAGGGACACAGCACACCGCCGATCACCGCACGCTCCGAGAGCCACGCATGCGCAGTTAGAATGGGAGGATGTCATATGATGTCCTCCCAGAACGAGAGAACTGCCTTGTGTCCATCATTTTACTGTATGGCGGACGGCAGGCAGTTAAAATCCAGTAGGACGCTGTCTCACCCTGCTCTGCACATGCATAGTTGCTCTCTATTTTTTGGTACTGCCACAAATGTAGAGACTGATCTGATGACAGGCTAAAGATTTACTGTTGCTCAGGGGCTCTGGACTTTGGTAAAATGGCAGTCTCCAGCAAGAAGAAACAGGAGCAATGTTGGAGGCAATTTACAGCACACACTAATTTTGGTAGCATAATTATTAATGTAGAATGTCTGTTCCTTGCTAAAGAACATTATTTTTTTACCAAGTTGATATGGGGCAAAGTTCTGCTGTACCCTGAATAATCTACATTTTTTCTATTACCATATGAAAAATAGCATTGTGCTTCCTGACATGTGAGATATGGTGATGTCTCAACTCTTTTCCATGTGGGAGTGGAAGCTGTACCTGAGGAAATGCATTGCATGCATTTCTTTGCTCCTACTTTATTCAGTCTGTGGATCTGTGCTTTCTGCATCTCTGCTGTTGCTTTTTCAACATTACCTCACTGGTCATCATGGGGAAAGCTCTGACCAGAAGCTCTGACCAGAATGAATTCCTGCTCCTCTACCAAGGTTGTGGAGACACAGTGCAGAACAAGGCATAGGTTAGTAGAGATGTGCACAATGGAAAAAATATGTTTAATTTCAGGTTCGTTCGTTAAGTTAATAATTTTGTTTCATCACATTCGTTATGTTAGAATTATTAGTTTTCAGAATTAATTTAGTATATTTGATTTTGTTTGGTATATTTGTAATTTTCAAATAGATTCGAATTGTCTGTTCTATTCTTTTCTAATCTATTTTTTTCTATTCCATTCTTTTCTATTTTTTTCTGTTTTATTTGACTCTATTCTATTATTTTCTATTATATTCTATTTTATGCTTTTTTTATACTATTCTATTCTTTTATTTTTTTGTATTTTTTCTTTTCTATTCCTTTATTTTCTACTCTATTCAGTTTTATTCTATTCTTTTCTATTATATTCCGTTTTGTTTTATTCTATTCTATTTTTTCTGTTCTATTGTTCTATTGTATTCTTTTATATTCTATTCTTTTCTATAAAACAGCCTCAGTAGGGATCATTATCTTTGTTCACTTTTACACCTTACTGTATTTATTGTAATATGTTTCCATTTTCCAATTTCAATTCATTTTAAAGTTTGAATTCATATTCGAATTCGGATAATTCTTTTTGTAATAATTTATTTCAGAATCAATGAAATTCGTTACTATTGTGATTCGAAAATTTGGATACATCCGAATCTCTGAATAACAAAGATTTTATGAGAATTTTGATTTGTAATGAATTGCACAAGTCAGTATTGGGGAAAAAGTTAACGTCACGGAGCCTAAAAGCAATACTGGTTACTAGTCCTTCGATCTCTGTTTTTTCTGGGCCAACTTCCAGAATTCAGTTCTTCCTTCACCATGCATGTTTTGGTGCAGTGAGGGTTTACAATCATGTTAAGGTGCATGGAATGCCAGCAGTCTGTAAATTAGTCATTCTAAATATTATTTAACCACTTGCTGACCAGTCACGTACCTTGTACGTCACTGGTCTTCAAGTGGTTGTACTGGGGTGATGCCTGCAGCTGCAGGCATTACCCCAGTGCCATTTTTTAGAGCTAGCAGTCAGCTTTCTTGTAATAGCGATCGGAGTGGCTAGCTAGCCATTCAATTGCTATTACAAGCAGTAAGAATGGATGTCCCCCTGTCCCACAACTTGCTCAGGCTCTCCCGTCCCACCAGGAGACCCGAGCAACCAGCCGGTCTGGCCATCTGCTGGCCGGACAGCAGAACAAAGCCATGATCAGCTTTGATATGCTCTCCACTATGGTAACCAGGAAGCAGTGACCTGTTTATCCAGATGTCAAAATCATTAAGAAAATGCTGATGCTTTTAAATGCAGAGGAGGGATTTGGGGTCTATAAGATCCCAAATCCTTCCATAAAGCGAACCTGTTATGTGCCTATTGTTGTCACAAGGATATTTACATTCCTTGTGACAGCAATAAAAGTTATTGAAAATTTTTTTTTAAAGAAACAGTGTAAAATAAAAAAATAATAGTTAGAAAAAATAAAATGCCCTCATCCCCCTGTGCTCGCGTGCAAAGGCGGCCACATCGGTCCAGCACGCTATTAAACAGTGATTGTTCCACACATGTGAGACATCACTGCGAACGTCAGATCATGGGCAGTAATTCTAGCAGGAGACCTCCTCCATAAATCTAAAGTTGTAACCTGTAGAGGCTTTTAAACTATGGATAGTAAAATTTTTATGTTATTTTTTGCCATTGCATGGGCGTGTGCAATTTTAAAGCGTGACATGTTTTGAATCTATTTACTCGGCGTAACATCAATTTATATTTTACAAAAAATTGGGTTATGTATTGTTTTTTGCATTAAAATTCAGTCTATTTTTCCTGAAAAAAATTGTGCTTGAAAAACTACTACTCAAATACCGTGTGACATTCAAATCTGAAAAACCCACCAATTTATTCTCTAGGGCCTCTGCTTTAAAAAATATATAATGTTTGGTGGTTCCAAGTAATTTTCTAGCAAAAAAATCCTGATTGTTACATGTGAACAAAAAGTGCCAGAAAAAAAACCTGGTCTTTCATTTCTGTTTTTTTAGGGAAAGCCTTGTACCTTGACTGTGAGTTTTTTTGGCTACTAGGACACACGTTGATTTCAATGGCAAGCCCCCACAGTCCACTTTTGCATTGCTACACTCATCCCCACAAAAGTTGCGACTGCACCATATTCTTTGCAGAAGTCTGGAAAAATATATATACAGTATATGAGAAATATCCTTGCAATAGTATGACCATTTCTTATTTTCTGCTCATGTAGACTTACATAAGAGAAAAGTTATTATTCACCTGGGGTCAACTTACTTGATATATGACAGCTTTAAGTGTGGTCCCTTACAGCACATAAAAATGCACATAATATTCAAAATACGCAAACAAATACCATTGGATCCTGGAAAAATAGTACACTAGATGGTCAGAAACTCTGGAAATACTACAGTAGAGTGTTCAAAACTGCAGACATGCTATATACAGGTGAAACTCAAAAAATTAGAATATCGTGCAAAAGTTCATTTATTTCAGTAATGCAACTTAAAAGGTGAAACTAATGTATGAGATAGACTTATTACAGGCAAAGCAAGATCGTTCAAGCCGTGATTTGTCATAATTGTGATGATTATGGCTTACAGCTCATGAAAACCCCAAATCCACAATCTCAGAAAATTAGAATATTACATGCAATCAATAAAACAAGGGTTGTACATAGAACAATATTGGACCTCTGAAAAGTATAAGCATGCATATGTACTCAGTACTTGGTTTGGGCCCCTTTTGCAGCAATTACTGCCTCAATGCGGCGTGGCATGGAAGCTATCAGTCTGTGGCACTGCTGAGGTGTTATGGAAGACAAGGATGCTTCAATAGTGGCCTTCAGCTCTTCTGCATTGTTTCGGTCTCATGTCTCTCATCTTTCTCTTGGCAAAGCCCCATAGATTCTCTATGGGGTTCAGGTCAGGCGAGTTTGCTGGCCAATCAAGCACAGTAATCCCATGGTCATTGAACCAGGTTTTGGTGCTTTTGGCAGTGTGGGCAGGTGCCAAGTCCTGCTGGAAAATGAAGTCAGCATTCCCATAAAGCTCGTCTGCAGAAGGAAGGAAGCATGAAGTGCTCCAAAATCTCCTGGTAGACAGCTGCGTTAACCCTGGACTTAATGAAGCACAGTGGACCAACACCAGCAGAGGGGGTGGGTGTTATGGAAGTGGGGGGATGGGGCTGGGGGGGGGGAGGTGGCCTTCAGGGGGCTCTTCAGCATTGATTCGGTCCATCATGTCTCTCATCTTTCTGTTTTGTTATCATTTTTTTCTTCATTTTTTTCGTTATTTTTCTATTTATGGGCAAAGCCCCATAGATTCTCTATGGGGTTCAGGTCAAAAGGCGAAGTTTGCTGGCCAATCAAGCACAGTAATCCCATGGTCATTGAACCAGGTTTTGGTGCTTTTGGCAGTGTGGGCAGGTGCCAAGTCCTGCTGGAAAATGAAGTCAGCATTCCCATAAAGCTCTGTCTGCAGAAAGGAAGGAAGCATGAAGTGCTCCAAAATCTCCTGGTAGACAGCTGCGTTAACACCTGGACTTAATGAAGCACAGTGACCCAACACCAGCAGATAACATGGCTCCCCAAATCAACACAGACTGTGGAAACTTCACACTGGACTTCAAGCATCTTGCAGTGTGTGCCTCTCCATTCTTCCTCCATACTCTGGGTCCTTGGTTTCCAAATGAGATGCAAAAGTTGCTCTCATCAGAAAAGAGGACTTTGGACCACTGAGCAACAGACGAGGTCTGTTTTTCTTTAGCCCAGGTAAGACGCTTCTGATGTTGTTTGTTGTT